GGGGGGCTATGTTTGGCTATGCTCACCATTTTCAAATGATCGCGCTCCTTGGAGATGTCGTCGACGTGAGCCCTGGCCTTGTGGAGCTCCCCGGCAAGATTGGCCACTCGGCTGTTCTCATTGTCGAGGAGTCGGCGCAGCACGACGATCTGTATTTTGAAGTGCTCGAGGTTCTGATCGAGAACGGCGACGGAGGCGCGAAGCTGGACAACCTCCTCGCGTCTACGCCGCCATGAGTTGACGACGAGGGCGTGACAGATGAGGCTTGACGCCCGGGACTCTTGCGTCAAGGTCTGCGTGCGACAGGTGTTCGAGCTCGCCGCGAGGCTCTGAACCGGGACCATCTCGTCGCCGTCCCCGAGTCGCGTCGACGACTTGCGGTTCTCAGAGCTTCGACGGGGACATTAATTAAATTATCGTTAATTTGGCTGGGATGGGAGCCCATGATAGCCGATGCGAGTTTGGCCAACCCAATGGATGTTAACGATGTTTTCCGAGACGGCAAGTAAGAAAACTCGAGGAAGCATATCAATGGGAAATGGTCAATGTCGTTGTAATAATTAAAATAATAATTATATTTAACGATTTCTTTTCCCTCAACCCCAATTTGTACTCTAAAACATTGGCTTGTAAATCACATTTGAAATGTTAAATGCAATAACTTTTCCCCATTAAATGGACTGTAATGACTTTGTAAATAAATAAGATCTTTTATTATGGTCCTACTCTATATACTTCTCTTCATTAATTTGGTTAATTGTTAATTTTAATTATCATTTGTAAAACTATCGCACAAATACAATTGTACCTTCGCTTTCCAAGCAACGTTTCATATAAAATGATAGCGATCCATTGTTTATGATAAAATTAGTTTTTAACGCATTATTATTGGGAATTGGGGCGGAATGTTAAATTACAGGACAATTATGTTTTTTAATAAAGTATGCTCGATAATTCCTTAATGTCATGCAAGTGGATTTTCAACATAAAGATAATGACATTACCGGATCGATGGAATGAAAAACGTTAATTGCGTTAGATTAGTATGGCAAAATGAGTCAAGGGATACATGGACAAGCCTGCCAGGGCAGAAGTATGAATGTCTAGGTAAAGGACACCCACCTAGCCTTGGATTCGTCATAAACCAGAGCGGGCGAGAGGTCGACCATTGACAAACTTTTCCTGGATGAGCTGGAAATTTGACTCCTCGGCGCCCCCAGAACCGGGAACTTCCGCAGCGAGTTCACTAGTCTGCAATCCTGGTGCTGACGAGTAGAGACACAACGCACTGGGAGTTGCGAGCACTGCAGTTTTCTCCGGGCGTTTTGCAGCAGTCCGTAAGGACTACCACGGCTCAGCAACTGTTGTTGTTGTTGTTGTTGTTGTTGTTGTTGTTGTTGTTCCTGCTGCTGCTCCAGGATCGGTATGGCGCTTTTATTCGACATTGCCTAATCCTGGCTCTCACTTCGACTGTGTTATCTCAAAACTTGAAATCGTTAGCGTTTGACAGCTCGGACCCTGATCGATCGGCTTTTGTCCGGGATGCGCGCGCACCTTTCCGCGGCCGATCGCCGTGGCATTGGCCACGGGCTATCAAGAAATCTTTGTTGACCTTCGGCTTATGAGCTCGAAACCGGCAATGAATATTTATCGCCGTGATGTTGGCTGATCCGCTACGGCGGAACATCCCTTGTTGTATAAGAAGAGTTTGCGAACAACGGTCGACAAATTTATTCATATTTAGTTTCATATTACATCTGCAGCTAATCCTTAATTGAAATTGCACGTGTAAGTTAGATTTTCATTTCAGCCTCGCTGCACAGAGTAATTTGCAAATTATTCAATATTAATCGTCGAATTAGCTCGCATAACACGTCCTTTGTGCGCGTGTGTGTGTGCGTGCGTGCGTGTGGACGGACGAGTTGGGCCACGATTTTCTAACTACAATTTAATGTTGTGATTTAATTCGATCGTTTTGCATTGCTTATTACGCTCGCGTAATTAATATTAAGATTGTCAGACAATAAGGAGAGTTGAAAGCTACTTTTGGAAAATTGTTTTGTCGCTGCATTAAATTACACCGCGGCTCGTCGTCTCACTTTACAAAGCCAATTAAAATTATCTATAATTACATATTATTAATGACTGAAGGATGGTTGCGCTTCCCAATCACGCTCACCATCGTCGTGTAATTTAATAATAAAATTGCCACTACGCATCATCGCTCGATTTTACAAAGAATTATTCAACGATCCATTAAATCAACTATTTTTATATAGAATATCAACGGTTCATATTTACAAGTAATTAATTAGGAGACTAGATTTTATGCACAAGAGTTTTCGCGTATTATCTAGATTTTCCTATTGAATCTTCAAATTCATTTAAATCTCATTTCTTTATCGTATTGTATTATTTGAAAGAGAAAAAAAGAAATAAGATTAATTTCGATTACGTGCGATTTAGTCAATGTTTTAATGGCAAATAAAAATTAATTGTCTCCAAGTCACTACAATGTACTACAACTGTTAATGACATTGGTTGAGTAAGATGTGTAAAATCATAAAAGAATAAAAAATAGATGAAGAAGAAGAAGATAAAGAAAGCAATACATTATACGAGCATCTAATATCAATAATATTATAATAAATTGTATTTTAATTACGCCCGAGAATATATGTAAGAGAATTAAAAAAAAAAAAATATATATACATATATATCATGCATACAATCATTGTACATGGAAGTAGGAAATTGTTATTTCATATCTATTTTTCCAATACATTAATTAAGCTATAAAATACATAAAAATGAGCTATTCTCTCTTCTTTTCTTCTTTTAATTTTATTCTTTAATATATACAGAATAATGTAAACAATGAGATTTCATGATCGTCGGTAGGCTAAACGCATGTACGAGCCTGAGAATTTATATTATTGCAGGAAAATGAAGCGACTATGGGTTCTAAATATGTAGTTGTACGTTCCTGATAAAAATTTGTCACGTGGGCTAATATTGCCCAATGACCACTCGAATCTGTTACTCGGCTTGTCCTCCCTGCTCTCTCTCTCTCTGCTCTCTCTCTCTCTCTCTCTCTCTTTACCTACCTACTTACCTATTTACCTACCTACCTATCTACCTATCTACCTACCCACCTACCTATCTATCTATCGGTTACATCCATGTATTGCTTTGGGCGCTTATCCATCCGTATATTCGGATATTATCAACCTCGCGTATTGCGACACTACTAGTCGCCGATATAATATATACGTCGTGCAGTTGCAGACGGAAACTATGAGAAGGTCGCGTCGCGGAGCATCGCACGCGCTGCCGAAGAGCTGCGACGATAGGATGCGAGATGCAGAAACGAGGGGACGAAGATCGCGAGAGAGCCGAGAAGGAGGCGTAGCGTTAAGCGCAAAAAAGATAAATAACCATAGTGCCAGTTGGAGAAGTAGCGCGCAAAATAAAAAAAAAGTAAGGCCGAGGCTGCTCGTATGCTTTATTCTCGATTTCCCTCGACGCGCTCCTCGACGAAAGCCGAGAGCATAGAGAGCCGCGGATTTCTTGCGGGACACGCGAAGCCCGCATCTGCCGGCGCGTGCATAGAGTGCGAGGGACGCGAGTTTTTCTTATTTCCCCTCAGGAAGCCCAAAGCGAGGGTCGCAGGGAGGAACGCAGCGACAAAAAGGAGTGCCGCGCCGAAAGCGGAGCGAACGCCTCTTCTTTGCGCCCGTGTTTGTCATCCAATCGCGTGCACGTGCGCGCGCGCGCGCAGAGTCTAACGTGTAGTGTGTAATGCGTAGTGAATAGTGTAAGCGCCTAAGCACTTGTTCGCCACTCGGTCTTCTATGCTGCATCAACGCGGTCATTCTCACCAGAAATAAATTTAGCCATTCCTCCCTCCTTACCGCTCGACGACTCCTTGTCACGCTCGTCTTACCCTCTCCCTACCCCCTACCCCCTCTCACTCGCCAAACTCACTTTTTCGCCAACATTATTCTTCTTTTTTGCCGTGCTTACTTAGTGGCGGTCGAACGCGCCAGCGAGACGCCGTTAATAGCCTAATCGGAATGTAAACAAATCCGTCGATCCGCAGCTACCACCATCACCACCACCCTCCTTCCACCTTCCACCTTCCACCTTCCACCTTCCACCTTCCACCTTCCACCTTCCACCTTACTTTTTACCCGCAGAGAGATTCGCGTCCCACTCCTCCCCGCGCCACGCCATTTCATTTTCTCTAAAATAATCCTACATCGCGAATCTGTCGTTTTTTGCAATTACAGTCCCACTGTTATCCCACGAGAGCTCGGCTATTTTAAACTAAATTCAATTGCATTGGAATGCACATCGATGTGCCCAATTAAGCCTACACTGATAAATACAATTATCAGTCGTCTATAGGTAGTCGTGCAACTTATTGAATTTACCGCAAAATTTTGACTTCCCTCGTTTCTTATGGCTTCGAGCACTTAATGCACATTTATTTGTCATAGAAAATTATTTAAAAAGTAACTGTATTTTATTCTAATGCCATCGCTGTCATTTGGAATATTGTGAGTTGCGTTTTATCTCACGTCTCTTCTTTATTACATTTCATTAAGTATTTCATAACTCGTCGCAACGCGCTACTTATACATGTATCATGACAATTGGAATTATTTATTATTAAACTCATTTTTACCGCATTGTACAATTAATATTTATCGTTAAATAATCGTGCAGTTTAATTGTAAATTAACAACTGCTTCTTTATAAATGGAAAAGGGAGATTGATTTATGCTTACAAATACGGCAGCATATTATTCGATCATTCTCGTATCAAATATATTTTACATAAAAATATTGTTTTTAATAGATAGATAAAGCTTGAGTAAGAAAGAAAAAAAATCACAAACTATGATAATTATAATCAAGTAGCCTTTAAAGATTAGGAATTAAAATTAATCGAATCTTCAATGGAATAAATAATTAGTTTTATTTTCTCAAGTTGAAAGATGTAAGTCATACAAACGATAGTAGATTATCATATAATTTTAATGAATATCTCGTGAAAGTAAAGTGATGCATAACTTGTTGACGTAAGTCAAATTGTTTTGAAAAATTGTTTTATAATTATATATTCTGTTCTATTTAGATGAGCTTCGATACACATGTATACGAATTATCGTCCTTATTTATGGATAAGTATGAACATTTTTATATCGCTATATAATCATATTAATATTTATACATTTACATTGCAAGTAAAAAGTTTCTTTCCACAAACTTCATGTTCGACTGTTCAAATTTTTTAATATTTTTTTTTTTCACAAATTTTTCTCATTATTCCATACGAAAATATTAATATCAGAGACAATGTGTGTGTGTGTGTGTGCGTGCGTGCGTGCGTGCGTGCGTGCGTGCGTGCGTGCGTGCGTGAGTGCGTGTGCGTGTGTGCGTGCGCGCGCTATTTATAAATCACGTATGAAAATACGATGGTTTGGCATTAATAACGTTTAAGATTCGCAACATAGAGAATAATTAAAATAAATAAAAAAAACTTTAGAGATTTTCGTCACCAGTTTTCGACCATCCCTATCCATCATGGAAAAATATGAATTAAAGCATAAACAAGAGCATAATTACCAATGTTCGTGACAAAACGACGCATCATTTCCATCGTTCTCTCATCGCAAAGGATCAACGTCTTATTTTCTACGAGAATGAAGATATAACTTTAACTAACAGACTCACTCTATCGAACGTTACTTAAAATTTCAATAACCTTCCAGGTGGATGATAATTGTTACGATGACACACCGTGCCCATCAATACGGAAAATCTGGAGCGCTAAATCCAAGTTAATGCGCAGTATTAGCGAATCCATGCTACCGTTCGATTAAAGCGAATCCAATGATTGGACGAGGGTTTACGTATAATAAATAAGTAATTATCGATTGCTCGATAGGATTGCTAGAAAGGTTGAAGGTTTAATTAGGTCGTCAACGCGAGTATTTAATGCCGCGAAGAGGCGATCTTCCAAGACTGTTTCGAGGAACAAATTTTCCTGCCGAGATTGGCACCAAGAGGTATTTATGGAAAAACGTCGAGTATCTTTACAGAGAGGATTATCCACTTAACGATGTGTGCGTACGTGCGTACGTGCGTACGTGTGTGTGTGTGTGTGTGTGTGTGTGTGTGTGTAATTGGTGGACAAAATAGTTGACGAATGAGAATAAGAATGCAAGCGCGTCGCGTTATGTCGATGAAGGCAACATTTTTACTTCCCGTGTTGCGAAGACGCCATAGAAAATCGAGTAGACGCGTTACATAATAAATCATGAGATTAGTAAGCGTTTGCCGGTGGACGGAGAACTTGAATGCCGATCACCGTGAAATCCGCCGGTCGCAGAGGCCCGCGAGGCGCGAGGTGACTCGTAACCGGGAGGCGGTGCCTCGCACGGGGCCCCGTACTCCGGCGCGCAAGGGGTCGGCGCTGACCGCGGGGGCGGCGGCAGCGACGGTAGCGATATATCGAGAAGGCCCACGGCGAGCTATGTAATTAGGACGGGAGGTCAAGGAATGCAGCGCCGCCGCCGCCGCCGCCGCCGCCGCCTCCCCCCCTGCCCCTGAAAATCCTCGGGCCTCGGGCCGCGACGTCCGGGGGCCCAGCGGCGGTGAGCGCCGCGCGGCGTCGCTCGTTCTCGCGTAGCTCGAGCCTCTCTTCTCCTCTCAGTCGTTGGCTCGATCAGCCGTCAGCGTTGTCGGGCTCACTCGCGCTCCTCGCCCGCCTCCCCCACTACCCGCCCCCTCTGGGTAATAAATAAAGACAAAGTAAGAGAAAAAGAAAGAGAGATTGTGCGCGTGTGTGTGTGCGAGTGCGAGGCGCCGGCAATTGGGGGTGGGGTGGGGAGGTTGTGGGTAGGGTGAGGAGAGGGAGAGCGAGGTCGTGTGCCCCTTCCCAGCAACCGAGAGAGAAAGTTGCCGGAAGTGCCGACGCGCGGTCGACCGACCTTGCCTCCTCCGCGCGAGCGAGAGAGAGGACGACGACGACGCATTCGTTCCCAGTGAGCCAAGGTATCCGGCCTATTGCGAGTCAAGTGCCGTCCGCCGAGTCCTATCCACTATCGTCGATTTCTCCTCGCGAGTGTGCCTGCCTGCCTGCTTGCCTGCCTGCCTGCCTGCCTGTCTACGTGCGTGCGGGCGTGCGCATATATGTATGCGCGCGCGCGCGCGCCATGAGTCCCGATAGCGAGAACACGGACATCCTCCCCGGCAGCCGAGCCAATTGCTTTTGAGGTTAGATCGGAGAGCAGCGACGTTCACTGAGGAAAAAGAGAGTGAGAGCGCTCTCTCTCTCTCTCTCTCTCTCTCTCTCGCTCTCGCTCTCGCTCTCGCTCTCGCTCTCGCTCTCGCTCTCGCTCTCGCTCTCACTCTCTATTGCGTGCCTCTGTAGAGGAGACGAGTGAATCACAGCGCCGGTGCGCTCCGCCGAAATGGACCAACACGCGCCTCCGTGTCCCGGAGCTAATAATAACCAAATGTATTAAGCGGATGGGACCGGAGTCCAGAGGCGCGCTTTCTCCTCCTCGCTTTCTCTCTCCTTGGCCTTTTGCCTATCGGAGAACGCGAACCTCCCCCTTTCTCCCGTCCGTGCAGCGCTAGTCAACAGCTGGAGGGGCTTGCGCTACATTTTCTAATGGTTTATCTCGCTGAGGAGCGAGCGAGCGAGCGTGCGCCCGGAGCCGCTAACGCCGTCGATCATTATCCGAACACGGGAGCTTTTGCTTGTATCTTGCAGTAGAGGTGTGACAAAAAATGCACGAACGCCGTTGCCGACGATCGATCGTTGTCTCGACTGTTTCCTGGATCAATCGGCCTGTCAGCTACGCGCGAAGACAATTACAAAGGCCCCGCGCGACCTACGTACCTCGCTCATGTAATAATCATTATCATTTTGCTCGATCGTCAATTGCCGCTGTTACTACAGCTGTGCGACGCATACGTGGAGTTTAATTTATTTGAAGAAGTTTCCTTTCGCGTATCGGCGATTGGAAATTCGTATGGAATTGCGTGGACAAGGGTAGTCTGCAGCCTGAATTGACAGCGTTATGATCGAAACTTTTTAGTAAATCCTTTCCCGTGCTTTATCGGTGGATGTGAGTTTTCAACGTAATAGTCAAGGATTATTTAGAGTAAATTGTAAAAAGTCGTGTATCGCTTGTTAATTTAAACGATACCCTTTTACGAGAGAGAGAGAGAGAGAGTGAAAATTATGAAATTCTAAGAGAGGTTCGTTGGTGGACTTAACGCGGGTGCGAAAAGTATCACGTTCGCGTCTATTTTACCGACGACCAACGTAACCAACGCATGTTTCATTACAATTGAGTCTTGTTATGTTTTAGCAAGTGGTGACATGAAAGGTATTGATAGAAAGTGAGAGGCATGGAACGCTTCTCCACCATGAGTGATGGAAATATCAATATAAGCGATGTCCGTAAGTATGCGCTTAAATAATTCATGCGACTTGAAAACAAATGTATTAATTAACTTTCGAAATGAGCATTTTGAAGGAGGATTGAGAAGGATGTAATATATAATAATGGGAAATTTCTTAAATTCATGGCCACCGACATTTAATTACCGTTCGTCCACTCGATGATAATTCTCATCCAAATGCGATTCTCCTATAGGAGATATTTCGTTAAAATCTTCCCATTCCACTATAGAGGACTTTATCATTGACGTTTGCTTTATCTTTCCTTCTTTGCCATACAAAAACTTTACGCTTAAACCTGACTAATTAATGAAAATTAATCATTATGTATAGATTCGGTCGTGCTTAATAGGAAATGTGTTTATTATTTATGTGTTGAAAGTCTAATGGATCGGATCGCCCAGAGCTTCCCCAACCGTAAAATAAATAAACTCTAATAATAAAGCATAAGAAAAAACAGTATAGGTATAAACAATTAATTTCCCATACGAATGGAAATTCGTCATTCGTTAATCATTGATATGAGCAAAGCTTTATGTAATGCTTTATATAGTTGGAGGTATTTTAATTATATAGTTTCGCAAAACTTTACGGAATAACTACGTCAACCGAGTCGAAAGTTAGTTTTGTAATAGCTTATTAAATATGATATTGAAAATATGAGAGTAATGAGGATTGAAGAAATTTTGCATAAATTTACCCATTGAAGAACAATAATGTTGGAGATGAAAAAATTTTATTTATTTTTTTTTTAATTTTTTTAATTTTTTTTTTTTTTTTTTTTTCTCCATTTTATCTCTTCGACAAAATTATTATTCGTAATGTACATTTTTCTTGTTGTTGTTTTTTTTTTCTTTTTCTTTTTTTTCTTTTACTTTTTTTTTTGTATTAGCGTATCTTTTATTATTTAAGCGTGATACTTTAAGCAATTTAGAATCCGATGTTTATATAATAGAACGGTTATAGTGTTATTAATGGAAAGTATTGTAAAAATGTATAGTTATCTTTACAAGAGCGTAAAGATCGTGTAAAGTAAATTGGTCGTCGAATATTGTCCTTAAGAGAATATTGAAGAAACGTTGAAGAAATACGTCTGCCGCATTGGTGCCTATCGAGTTTAGTTTTTAAACAATTTTCGCAATTAGCCTATAAATTGATTTCAACAATAATATTTATTATATTAAAAATTGGGATTATTATTGGGAATATTGTTGCTTGTGAATAGCAGCATAGCTTCTAAATTTATATTTCCCTGGATTAACGTTCTCCTTTTATTTTCTTCAAACTAGTTATAAATACACTGCGTACATTACATCTACAATTAAGTTACTAGTATACTTGGCGAGCGATGCTTTGAACTTTATTCTTTGCAACCGAGACTCAACAAAAGTTCGAGAGAATTTTTTTTTTTTTTCTTCAAATAATTCCAAGATTTTGTATAGACGAGGGAGAGTGAAACGTTATTATTATTATTAATCGTTGATAAGCAAAGAAAATATTTAGACGAAGGCGGTAAGCGATTAGGAGACTAATCGGATGAATCGTGCATTAAAATAAAATCACTCTCATATAGAAGATATTAAGCTTATATAGAATTTCCATATTCTTACATTACATTTCATTGTAGTTATATATATATATATATATATATATATATATATATATATATATATATATATATATATATATATATTATTATTATTATTATTATTATTATTATTACGTCGTGAGTTTTTTTTTTTTTATTTTCACCTTACGAACAAATGTTTCGGAATAACAAGATGCAATGCTTAATATATATAACTGGATGCACTTGCAGTTTTATAATCAATTCTTTAATGTTAAAATTATTACAATAATTGACTCTGATTAATTAATCGAGTTACAGGCATCATTAGTCGCCGATTCATTCAGCGAAAAAATCGAACAACTAATTTTAATGACGATTCTGCCGTTGTTTAATGGGAAATACATGTCTTTCGGATAAAATATAATAACATAAAATTATTACCTATTGCAATAATAGAAGAAATAATGAATATTTTTCGCTTAAACTGCTTATATTGTATACAACGAAAAGCCTTAGTTTTTGTAATTTAAATAGAAAATATCAAATTATTACTACTAATAACTACTAATAACTACTAATAACAACTAAAAACTATTAATACTAATTGTCAAGGAATATATTAGTAATTATATTATTATTTTTATACAACCGTTTATATTATTTAGAAAATTTAATCAATAGGTCATAAATATGTTTTATTATTATTATTATTATTTATTATTATTATTATTTTTCATTTCTTTTTTACCAAATATAGTTAATAAATTAATAATTTATAGATATAAAATTTTAACAGAAGTGTTCGATTTAGTAAAATAATGAACAAATACTGCTGTTGTTTAATTTTATTTTACCTTGATGAATGTATTCTTTGTAAAGTGATTTTTGTGTTTTGTTTTTGTTTAAGTTAATTTGATTACTTTTTATTGTGTAATTGCGTTGAAAAGTGTTGCATCTACATCTTTATATTTACAAAATAATTCTTAAAAGACAATGGAACGTGGAGTTTTTTTACAGAAAATTTTTAAGCGCGGTAAAGAGAAATTGGAATTATTATATTTTCTGTAAATAGAAAAGCACATGTATTCTTCAATTAATTGTCTCAAAGCTGGATATGATTGATTGATATGTTGAACGATCGTTGCTTTGTAAATTAGATTAAATATAAAAATATCTAATTATTGTTTAGATTAAAATTATATTAATATAGTTAAGCATTAATTTATAAAAGTTCTAAAGTTGGAAATGCAATGTTTTAAACTAAGAGCAATTTATCAAATTTTTATTTCCCCGAAAGAAAAAAAAAAAATATATATATATATATATATATATATATATATATATATTCTTGTGGAATATAAAGGTCGAAAGGAAAGTAGACGTGATAGATGAGACATTGAAAATGTTAATCCAGCTCAAATGCAAATTTTTCATTAAGTGTTGACACTTTCTCATCTTTAAGAAATACTGTCCCCGTACCAGTTGAGATTCTGCGAAGATGAAAAATAATTCCCCAACTTGTTTCTATTATTAAATTGAGTCGAGGTCTAGCCAGATCAGTGCAGACGCTTTCTCCCGGTTAGACGATAATTTCCGGAAAAACTAATGACATGATAATTGATCGTGATAAATGATGGTTGCGTAACGATTAGCCCTGACATTCTGCATCGATGTGTAAAATATTTTGGCCACGGCTGTTTTATGCTCGTAGTGGACGCGATCGAGACGACGGATCCCAGCTTCGCGGAGAGGAACCGCGCCGAGATGGACATCGTCACGGGAGGAAGCTGCTTGGAGACGAGGTCGCAGATCGGCCAGGCTGCCCGAGGCGTACCCTACGTCGAGATCGTCGAGCAACCGGCGAGTAAAGCCCTGCGCTTCCGTTACGAGTGCGAGGGCAGATCCGCCGGAAGTATACCCGGGGTCAACAGCACCCCCGAGAACAAGACCTTCCCGAGCATTCGCGTGAGAATCTTGCATTTTCATTGCATCTTTCTTTCTTTAAATAATACAGTTTCTCGATTCAATCATATCGACCGAGCACGTTCATCCATTTAATAACTCGTGCTTTTTAAGCTAATGATTTTGCTAATGATAAATGCAAGCACGCAGGCGCGCACGCACACTGTGATGAGATGACTATATATATAAACTTTTATGAATATTGAGTTGGATTCAATTTTATGCCGCGGAACAGACGAAAAGGCCCGAGAAAATTGCTTAAGAAAAGATGTCAAGAGTCTTAAAGCAACGTGATAAAATTCGTGTTATTCGTGCAATTCTTTCAATTAACTCAATTAAGAATCGCATAAAAGAAATAAGTCAATGTTATTATGATATTTAAATAGAATCTATTGGCATGCACGGGATGACGCTGGCAAATTCTCACGGGAAACTCGTTAACGAGAGCGAATAAATAACGTTTAATAATCCTACGCGATACTCACTGTCGAAAATTGATATGTTTGGCTCAAAACTACAGATCGTAGGCTACAAGGGTCGAGCGATCGTGGTCGTTTCGTGTGTAACTAAAGATCCACCTTACCGGCCACATCCGCACAAACTCGTTGGAAAAGGTGTTTGCAGACAAGGCGTCGGCACCGTCGAAGTTTCATCCGACAATATGACTGTTTCATTTGACAAACTTGGCATTCAATGTGCCAAAAGAATAGACATTGAAGAGGCCCTCAAGTTGAGAGAGGAAATACGAGTCGATCCTTTCCGAAGTAAGATATCGAGTGTCTTTACAATCGCTTTTATTTCCCTTTTATATCGATATAATCTTCTCACTTGTACATAACGCCTCCTCCCACCTTTGCTTGTGATATTGAAAAGTTGTTATTTATTTTTTTTTTTTTTTTCATTTGCTCGTTACATTACAGCCGGCTTTGATCATAAACGGCAGCCGACGAGTATCGATTTAAATGCCGTGAGGTTGTGCTTTCAAGTGTTTTTGGAAGGCCAAGAAAAAGGAAAATTCACGCTCCCATTGCAGCCAACGGTGTCGGAGCCAATTTATGATAAAAGTATGACTGACTTTGTAGCATTTAAAGTTGCGAGCAAATTATTCGGTTGTTAAAATATCAATTTTACGCCCCTTATGAGCGACCGCATTATTATTAATCTTTACTCAAAAAATATATAAGGCATCTTTCATACATAATAATTATGATTATTTGTCAATTATATGTCAATGGTATATTATTTGCCATTGATAATAACATAAATGATTCGTTCATTCGTTTTTTCTTTTTTTTCTTCCCCCGTGTGCTCTTAATCCTTCATAGCTCTAAATGTGTTGTATGAGGGAGGGGCAAATATGTTATTGGATTGGCCATCGGAACGCGTCTCGATGATCGATGATGGCAATCTCCATTTGCAAACGAAAAATGTCCCTTTATTCTCCTGACGAGTCGTTCCAACGTTTTACAAATTTCAGAGGCAATGTCCGATCTTGTGATTTGCAAGCTCAGCCACTGCAGTGCCTCAGTCGCCGGCGGCACGGAAATGGTATTACTTTGCGAAAAAGTAGCCAAAGAAGATATTCAGGTGAGATTTTTCGAAGAGCAAGACGGTCATACGTATTGGGAAGGATTTGGAGATTTTCAGCCGACGCATGTCCATAAACAGGTGAGTTTTATTAAACAAAAACAAAAACAAAAACAAAAACAAAAAAAAAACCCTCCTTAGTCGTGTAATAATAACGAATTTTCATGTTTATTTGATTCTTAAAGTTATTAAGACTGTTTCGAGCAATTCATCCCTAATTTATAAGCAAATTAATTATATATACAAATATCGTTTGGATAGGGCACTTTTACGACGTAGATAAAAACCTTAAATATTAAATAATTATAAAATTGTTTATTTCTATTTTATTCCCTTAAATCGATAATTTAGATATCAGATTTCTTTGAGGGATATCAGATTGCTTTGATTGTTTATTTACATTTTGTCAACATCACAAACTAATTAATAACTATCCAATGTGAATCCCTATATTTTATAGCATTGCTATGAATTATGGAGAAGTGCATTGTAAAATTTTATTTACATGCATACTACATATTTATAAATGTTAAATAAATCAATTGAATAATAAAATTAATAATAGAAAAATTTTTAGCGACATCGTTACTTTCGAACCGAATAACATACGAGATGCAAGGAGAATAATTTTGAATGTTCTTAAAAAAAAAAGAAAACTAAAGACGCGATTTTTTTTTTCTATCTTTTTGTTTCTTTTTATACAATAATCATTCCCAAATGTCAACCGAATAATATAAAGTTTTACTAACTTTAAGATTACCATTTGATACTCGCACACTGCATTTCACTTTTCACGCTTACACATTCGTCATATTATTATTATTATAGACAAAAAATAGATCGCCAAAGAGCAGCGAACAAAAATTATCGCCCAATATGGTAAATTGACGTGTCGTAAATATTGCGTAAATTTCAATCCCCGAATGACTTTGGCATCGCACAATTTTTTATAAAATTCATGTCTTGAATAAAAATTGGCGGCTGGTGGCCATTGAGGCGAACGAGGCTCCCCCGATGCATTTTTTGTCTATACACGGCGAAATGAGCGATTGAAGCCGCTTGGGCGTAAAGATTGAGTAAGGGCTCCTCTCTCTCCCCTGCCGCTGGGCAACAGGTGGCGATAGCCTTCCGGACACCGAGTTACAAATCGCAGCAGGTCGAGCATCCGGTCCAGGCCTACATCCAGCTTCGGCGGCCCTCGGACGGCGCAACCAGCGAGCCTCTGCATTTCCAGCTCCTGCCCCTGGGACTAGGTAGGCCCGGCCAGCTCTGGTCCTTGCGCAAGACCTTCGCCCGGAAGAAGGCCGTCTGCGAGCTCGCAGCGAGTCTCGGACGCGCTGACGTCGGCAACGAGTCCAATACGCGGCCGCGCTACCTCGTCCACTCGGCTGAGGCCGGCAGCGGCCTCGAGTACGCCGATAGACCGGACGAGCCACTCGGTCCCAAACCCGGTACCGAGAAGCTCGAGGCGACGGTCGAGTTTCCGGATCGCCGCGGCACCGCCAAAGCCGTGGGCTTCTCCGCGATCGCCAACGTCACCGGCCTCGAGTCCGCCGAGGCCCCGGAGGAGCCACTCGGTCCCAAACCCGGTACCGAGAAGCTCGAGGCGACGGTCGAGTTTCCGGATCGCCGCGGCACCGCCAAAGCCGTGGGCTTCTCCGCGATCGCCAACGTCACCAATGACAACCACAACGATTACTACACTAACGGCAACAATGAGCATGACAATAACAAAGACAACGACGACGACGACGACGACGACGACGACGACGACGACGACGACGACGACGACGACGACGACGACGACGACGACGACGACGACGACGACGACGACGACGACGACGACGACGACGACGACGACGACGACGACGACGACGACGACGACGACGACGACGACGACGACGACGACGACGACGGATGACTGGTTCGACTATACGGAGGTCGGCCGCTGGGTCCAGCGCAACCAGAACTCGACCAAAGAGGCGGGGGCGGCGATCGTGGAGGAGACCGGAGACGCGGCCGAGAACGGCGGCAAAAGCCTCGGCGAGCTGCTTAGTCAGGTAGTTGAGCTCGACCGTATCTACGAAGACACGCACGCGCGTGTACTGCTGGAGAAACAGCGGCAACAACGCCATCAACGACAAAACGACGACGACGACGACGACGACGACGACGACGACGACGACGGGAACTCGCTCCCGGGGAACGACGAGTTCGCGGAGACTGACGTACGCGATAATCGTACCTACACGAGCCTCCGATTGGCCATGAGGAATCCCGTGTGGGTACGCGCGCGCCATCCCCATGATCCACGGCACCCGGAACTAGCCAACCTTCCGGGCATCGTCCTTCCGAGTCCCATTATAGCCTTCGCCAGGGACGGGGCAGCCCCGCCCCGACCTCCGCCTCTGGCAGCCCGTACCAAGCGCGACGGTGCCCTCGAGACGGAGGAACGTCTGCCCCCGCTTCCTCCCAAGCGCATCCGGAAGACGCCTTCGATGCCGACTCTCGGCCAGGACATCGGCGAACAGCGCCTGGTCACCCGGTCGGCCGCGCCCCACAAGACACTCCCGACACCCCCCAACGGCAACGGCCTGCCCAAGCAGCACAAGCCCGGCCTCTTCTCCAAGCTCTTCTTCAGAAAGGGCAAGAGGGACGGCCGGGAGGAGTCGAACGTCCTCGCGTCGACGACGAGTCTCCCGGGACTCGGCAAGGACGTCTCGGGCACGCCCGTAGCCAAGCTCCCTTCCCTCGGTACAGCAGCCGCGAGTACCAAGAGCCTCGAGCTCCAGGGCAACGCGACGCCACCCTACGAAATGGACCTCACCGAGGCCGAGCACTACGCCCTCTACACGGACATGGCACCCCACGCCACCACTTCCGAATTCGACGAGATGTCGTTCTATTATAGCCCCGTCGAGGGCGGCAAGATATTGCTCGACAACAAGGAGACGAGCTGAGCTTGCCTTGTCACGCGAGACTCTCCCCCTCCCACCCCCCTCATACCCCCTACCACCTACCCCCTACCCATTACCCAAACTCTCCATCTCCCGTCCGCTAGTCTCTAATCACTTTTCCGCCAATTTATCATCGTCTCGGACTTCGGTGTTGACTGTAATTCCGCCCCCGCGTACCTCCATTCTTTCCTTAACCTTCTAGAGCGAATTATATATGTGGTACGATGGCGGCATTGGTTTGTAAGACTACGATACTCCGTCAAGCGTTAAATTTTATAAGAAATACTATGGCGAATGGGATGTGATTGTATGGTTGGGAGGGGGAGGGGTTGGGGGCGGGAGTGGTGCTGGAGATACTTGGGAGAATTAAAGAAATTTCCAGCATAGAAAGGGAAGAGAAAGAAATAAGAATAAAGTCAAGTCATTGCGTGACATGACGTGCCAAAGAGTATGGCTCGCCCGCTTTACTATAAAAACCAAAGATTCGTTCTCAGTTGTTACGGTCATTTATAATAAATAATAACCAAAGACTTCGTCGGTATTGGCGAAAAATGCTTTATTCTGGTCGAGCTTTTATTAATCATAGCGTTAATGTTATGAAAGCCTTGGTCGAGCATAGTATCGCATAACATCATATAATAAATATCGCAATAGATACAAGAAGAGAGATAAATATAAAAGTATCGATCATATCGAGATTAACAACAATTCGATACTTCGATATTCACCAGACAATGGCTTTCGAGTGCCGTGAATATTAGTTGCTAGTCATTTAAGAAATATTGTGTCACCGTATAAGGCACAATGGAGTTTGTTCCTTAAGATATTTTCATACCTCGTGCTTTATCAATAGAGCTTTTTTTTTTTTTTTTTTTTCTATTATATTCTTATGTCTTCGATTCACCAAATATTGTTTTTTACTCTTAAGATTCGTTGACGTTAAAGCTTTAATGTCGATATCGATGATTTTTGACGCAGAGCAAACGATAATGTAGGGAGATAAGGTACAGAGTGAGGTAGGATGTAAGAAAGTAAACGAACGCATACATCGACTATAATTTTGAAGTTTTAGCCCCTAAAAGTGTGCTGCGTGTGCGTGCCTGTTGCGTATGCACAGATACACACCTACGGATGAAAAATCGCGTATTCACATATTATGCGCGAAAAGTAAACTATACTTTTAAAAAACAAATAATCAGATACTCTAGTCTATTATGGATTTATGAATTTGTGAATTAATGGATTAATGGTTCGTTCTAACTGATCATTAACATTTATTATAGTTTTGTCTTCGTTTCGCCAAATACCACTATATATACTTATTATAAATTCGATCTTTTAAAGTATATTAATAATGGAAAACAATTTTAAATAAAATTTACTTATTTAAATACTTTATTATATGTAGATATTGATTGAAAAACTATTAGAGGCATTATTGAGTTTTTTTTTTGTATAAGTTTTAATGGACCGATGGACAAATAATTTTAATACATGTGCGGCTAGGCCAAGTATACTTAAGCGGTAGTAGTGGATCATTTTATTTCTCAATTCTCTCGTTATTTATATATTATTTGGCAATTCACGAGATGTGCGCGAAAGTCATTAATTAATTATTCTGTATTGCGAAGCGTTATATCAGACAAAATATCAGCATTTTTTTTTTAAAGCGAAAGCCTTTCATCGATTATCACGAAAATTTCCGAATTCTTTGTGTTGCGATGCTGCTGCCCACGATGACGGACGCACATACAATTATTAAACTAAACGATCGACATTTACATTATAATATTTGATATTGAGATTGTGATAATATTGTTAACGTTTGACCGTTCGTAGATGATCCCGACTCGTTACGACGAAAACGAAAAAAATCCAATAACAGCCCGAACGCGTATATGTTGAAGCACGTGCAAGCCGAGGCTGAGAAACGTGAGTATGCGCATGAGGATAAGGATAAAAGCAATCTAGTGCTGTCTTTACAGACATTGAAAGGTTATTATTGTTGGCTTGGTTATAATGGTGTCGGTAGCGTCTCTTATAACATCTATCTCATTCTCATATATTATCAACTTTGTCCAAGGCATCAGCGTCATGTTCTTTTAACATTACGGGGCTAAGGGTGGCTGCTTGATGGATAATTTATAAAATCAACTTATCTCCTATATTGTTATATGTACATCGTGCATTATTATCATAAAATTGTTTTGCCTAACCTCCCTCCCTCCCTCCCTCCCTCCCTCCGCTCACCCCTCAATCACCACTAACCCACCAAGTGATTTAAAAAATTACAAAATTACACTAGAATACTTCATTTGCGGAAGCAAATAAAGTTATTTATTGTTTGACGTAGCGTGAGAAATTTACTCGATAAGGAGATTTGTTAACAGAAGATTGAATTAGCAAATTCCTCGTCCTATGCTTAATAGCGCCAAGAGAGTTTAATTCCACCCCCCCCCCTCCCCCCATCATCTTTCCATATTGTCCATAATCGAAAATTTATGCTCTTAGCTGAATTTTGTTTCTACTTCGGCCAATCCTTACGGCAATCTTCGCGCCCAATACACGAATATTAAAAATTCTATCGTTGCAAATGCAAATTATGCAATAATAATAATTATTTCTAGACGATATGCAATGGTTAGCGGCAATTGGATAAACTCGCCATTGGCTCAAAGTATAGTAGAGTATAGTATTTCGGGGCGTTGGCAATAGTGAACGATATTCGCGAATCCATATGATTAAAATGAAATGATACTTATAAAACTTGGACGAATAGGTATTTAAGTAGTGTGAGTCGTAAGTGACTCGAAGTACTAACGACATACACATGAACATTAAAGAGCTTGACGTTGGTTCTCATGGACACTGTTTAGTTAAACTGATTATCACTGATCATTGTAAAAAGTCCGGCTAGCTACGTGAAAATGTTTGTAATGTTTGTGACGAATTGGCATTGTTTTCAGACAGAGCGAATGAATGAAACTGAAGGCAACTATTCTTGTAGCACGTAGCATCAAGCGACGGCGTAGAATAAATTTACTATTCTATATCATTCTGAAAATGTACTTTTATTAAAATGTAAAAGCTTTATGTATAATCGTGGACGAGGACTTATATGCATACTTTAACCAAATGATAATTCACATGATGGTTAATCAAAACCTTTTCGATTAAATTCGACTTGTTCGAAATGTGAAGTGTGCTTTTTAAGTTTCTGCAGCGTAAATAAAGAGCCAAAAAAAAAAACAAAATAAAAAATAAAACAAAAAAAAAACAGCATTGCAATATACCGAAGTATAGATGTGCAATATTTTTATAATACATTTTTTAATATGACAAATGCGTCGCTAATTTTTTATAGAGGATGAAAGAGAAAATTATATTTATAAATTGTATCGAGCAATTGTATAAACAATATACGTATGTGTACATACACTAGTATTATTATTATTATTATTATTATTATTATTATTATTATTATTATTATTAGTTATTAGTTATGACTTTTTATTTTGTTTCATTTTATTTTATTGTTTTTTTTTTGTTTTTTTTTTTTTATTCGCTTTTATTTTATTTTATTTATTTTATTCTTCTCCCTCGAGCTGGTCTCTGTACTCGTATCAGTCGATGAATTTCAGGATTCAACGAGTCGCACAATCGGATCTTCAGGTATGATGGAATCGTGTGAACTTCTTGTTGTGTTACAAACAATTTCACTTAATAACAATAACAATAACAATAATTATAATAATCATTGCCGTTAGTTCATTGACAATTGTCTAAGTCAGCGGATAATAATGTAAATAATTCTTGCCTGCTTGTTAACCTAATTGAAAAGAATTTCTTACTATCTTATTAAAAAACATGGAGCAACGGTAAATCGTGTATATAATGATACGTTTATCTAGTAAGATAGAGTAATCAGCATACTTTTTATGTTAAAATTTACAAAATATGTGCTTATATGCATGCTACTCTGACTAATTCAAATTTTGCAACTGTAAGCAACTAAATCGCTTGTTGTAATAATTCTTTTTTTTTTCTTTTCTTTTTCTTTTTCTTTTTCTTTGTCTTTTTCTTTTACATTTTTTTTTTCCCACATTACCCTTTAAAGCTTGCTTGCTTTAAAGAAAGGCCAGCTTTCATCGTTCAACCTTAAATCGCATTCCCGGAATATCATCACATCTGTCAAATGCTCGCTCTAACGTACGATTCACAGCGCGACGACACTCTTATCAGCTTTTACCTCACATTTCAGCAATAAGTCTCATTTATGCATTTATGAATAATTGATTACATAAAACTATCACCCCTTGGCTTTGTATTTATAGAGTCTGGATTGCTAAATCCATTACCGCAATACAATTTCAATCTTATTAAATCCGAGCCATCGGACAGATTATCGCCATTCGGAGGACCTTCGATCTCCTCCGCGACATCGCCTACAATGTTTCAAGTTGGAAACACTAATGCTGGAGCAGGGAATTTTTGTACGCTTCGGTAAGAAACGTCGGATATAGTAATTCTTTTACACGTGTAATGCAATCCAATATCCAGAGATCCATAGTTTCTTTCTTTTTTTTTTCTTTTTTTTTTCTTTTCTTTCTTTTTTTCTTCTTTTTTTTTTTCTTTTTTTTTTTCCTCGGTAGCACGGCCGTTAAAATCGCCTTGGTAAAATTTGAATATTTTCTTCTATAGACATTTTGAGAGTGTGCGTTAGCTTTACAAAATTAATAAATAATTGCGTCTTCCGGTGCGCGGTATATTCCAATGGTTAAAGCTTAGCGAATACCATTGGCTTACAAGTGTCATTGACGCAATTTATACGAGACAATTTACACGCGTATTCCTTGGTCGTTGGCTAACTAGTGCTAATCATACTTATCCATTAGAAGAGAGAAAAGAAAAGATCGGCTCGCTTCGAGTAACAACATATTCACACACACACACACACACACACACACACAGGCAGTAGATAATTTGGCAAAAAACAAAAAACAAAAAACAAAAAAAAAATATGTACATGCAATACAACGTGCGTTCGATGCAATTCCAGGCCGATACATTCGCCAGAGCGTACACCATCACCCATGGAATGTCCCCTGTACAATATTCCACCTGTACAATCTGGTTTGGGCTGCTGTAGTTTGCAGCCGATAATGATAGCACAGACATCACCTTCCCCCATGTTAGTGCAGGACACTATGGTTGGAAGCCTTTCGATCGAGCCCGACGTCCACTATCCGCTAGGTGATACGAGTAAGTTGATTTTAAGATTACACAAGCCAAACGCGTGGTCGTCCTACACACGCTGTGAAATTTTCTTCCTTTTCTTTCTTTCTTTCTTTATAGATATTATATCGGATGCTATTGGTAATGCAATCAATATTGGCAATGCATTGGATACTACGCAACAAACGTCGGATTTCGACTTGAACTTTTCGCAATTTGATAATGTTGACTTAACTAATCTTAACATTTCCGATATTGTCAAGGTAATTTTTCTTTTTATTTATACCAACATTATATGGCTCGTTTGACACTATAAATATTTTCACTGGCACTCCACTGGTTCCACTGTCGGTTTACTTAACAATCGATCGAAACTTTATTAATTATTCGTTCAATAAGTTGACATTAAGGCAAAATAACGAATGAGATTAATGTTTAAATGTTATCGCGCTATTATTATTATTATTATTATTATTATTATTATTATTATTATTATTATTATTATTATTATTATTGGCCTTATTGGTTAACTAATTGTTCATCGTAATACACGCGTTTCATGCATTATTTCAGTAACTTGATCTAAAAGACGAGCCTGCTTTCAATTATCATTATTAATGACTAGAAATAAATTTATGATTATGCTCAGGAGGCCGTTAATGGCGAGGAAGGAGCGAGCACGATCGCCGAGGAAAGCTGTATGACCGACAGTTTCACAAAGTTGACGCGAAATACAATTCAAGAGCTGTGTTCGTTAAATAATATGTACAAAACGACGAGGGATGATCTTTGAAGTGAAAGTGCAAATGAATATTAATAAGCGCTTCGAGTATAATTGAAGCGTTTGGAAGAAGAAATCCATGCTTTACCACCACGTGGAAGGAGTTTACTGTGTGCAACAATTTGTACAACTCGAATGAACTTGCGGCTTTTATCGATGAAATCCTGTGATGTAAATGAGACAATTGACATTTAATTGACAAATAACATACAAAGATTACAAGTAAAAAGTGGGGAAATTAATCTTATCCCCGATCGTCTCACTGATTTATTTACAGCCTAGAATTAAGTGAAAATTTACTCAATTCGACAATTCTTTATAGATCTGAGCGTGAAGTGTGACTTTCAATAATAATCTCGAACGCCAAGAATTACACATACGAATAATTAATGTACCTCCTCGTTTCTTTACGATCCTTATTAGTATTTTCAATTGGACACGGAAACCAATCGTACCGCTACATTTTCATCTAAGGAAAAATTATTGAAATAATGATTATAGTTTAGGACGAAATTCTTAATAGCGAGTCGTATTACGAAATTTCACGAAGCTCGTTTATAATAAAATAATGTGATGAATGTATTCTATTGTTAATTAAGCAGTCAACATTGCTTCCTTAAGTTTAAAACTTAAGTTCTCAAATCCTATGTAATCTATTAATTTTAATATGAAGCCTTGCCATAAGGTTTTTCTTCTTTTTCTACATTTTTTTTTTTTTTTTTTTTTTTTTTTTTTTTTTTTTTTTTTTTTTTGAACTCAAAGAAAATATAATTTATATATTTGTTATTATCGTGTTCTATATGTATGTTTGTAAAACTCGTGATTTTTCATGCGCTCTTACGATATTCCTTCAATCGTCCGATTGCCGAAAAAGCTCTAATCTTTAATAAATAAAGGTAAAAAATTGAAAAATTTTAACCTACTAGACATGAATATTGCGACAGAGTCCAGATTCCCATGGGAGTTTGGGAGTTTAAACATTCGTTGAGCTTGTGATATAAATTAACGATCCGACTGTGACAACTTTTGTAGAATTTTATCACTATGATATTATCTAATTCTAAGTGTTTGTCCTTTTAAAGAACAACAAAAATAATGAATTCCCTCAAACGAGTTTTAGTATATAAAATGTTAGGAAGTACGGCAATGGATAAATGGAGAAATAAATTTGTTTTTATATGCGAAAGCAAAAGTCTGTATTCATAGAGTTTTTGTTTTTTCTTTTTTTTTTTTCTTTTACAAAGATATTATTAATGTGAAAATGTACATATTATTATTTGTGTATCTAATATTTTCAAATATTATAAAAAAAAAAAAAAATAATGCAAAAGCATTGATATTGTAATAAAAGTCTATTCGTACAAAAATAGATTATATATTTTTATTCTTGTAAAATAAAATTATTTCCAAAACAAAATTAATAATATTATAGTATTATGCCACGTGTACAATATATAATATAAAAATTTTTGATAAATAAAATTATTGCTTAATAAATGATTGTAATTTTTTTTTTTTTTTTATACATATAACGCTCGCGTAAGTATTTCAATTTTTATATTTAAACTAATACATGATATAAGTGATATGTATACATATACAATTACTTGGTAATACATTCAATTCCTCATATTATATATAAATATATTATATATAAATATAAAAAGAAAAAATATGATGGTAAAATATTGTAATTGATAAATAGGTGTATTATCAAGCTCGCATTAATTATTCTATAGAAATTTATCTAATAAATATAATAAACTATTAGTCTGTATAAATATACTTTTAATGGCTGATAATTCATCATTTCAGATTTGATTGATCTGAATATTTTTTATATATAATAAAACTATTATTATATGAAATTATTTTGTTTTAACAGTAATTTGAATTTGCTTCAAATTATCAAAATAAGAAAAAAAAATTTGCATATTATTAAATTATATAAGGACTGTGCATAGTGTCTACTGTATAAAACTCTATAGTCAGAAAATTAATATAACACAACTTATTAGTATTTCTCTAAGCGCACACATGTATACAAATACAAATAATACGGTGCGTGTAGGAAATATACTTTAATAGAAAAACAGTAATGGCTCCTTTTACGAGCTTTGTCAACCTCGTAAATCTTCCTTGAGAAATATTGAAATTGTTTAGTTATAGTATGTGTGCAATACAGTGTTATATAATGTTTTTTATTTTGTAAAAATCTTAAAACTATTATTGATAATGTAAATTTTCCAATATCAATATTATATTATTATAATATAGATTTAAAAATATATCGCTGGGCAATTATGTATTGATTCGTTTTTAACGTCATGTAATATTATTTCATATTTTATTGCTTACATTACTAATTCGAACGTATGATCCTTTTTATATTAATTACAGAGTGTATTTGTAATGGGAAATCAATGAATAGTTGTTACACTTTTACCGTTTATTTTCATTGTGCACATATTTCATTTATTAACATTAATAATTTATATTTACTTAAACTATCAATTATATAATTAAAGCATATTTATTATCAAATTTCTTTCTTCTAATTATGCAAATTTTATTGAAGATTTTATTATCGATTTTTCTTCTTTTCTCTCTCTCTCTCTCTCTCTCTCTCTCTCTCTCTCTTTCGTGCAGTTCTTAGTAAATTTCTTAGATAATTAGATAATTACTTGATACCTTCATATGGATAAATAAGTTTCGCTATTATCTTTTATATATAGGAATTTTTAAATCAATGTTATTTCATAAATAAGCACGCGATATATTTCAAAGGCCAAAAATAATAAAAATAATAAAAATAATAATATATATATTTTTAAGAAGACGAAATTACATTTATTTGGTATCATGGTGTGCTGCTTATAAAATGCATTATATCTTATGGTTTTCCCAGTCAATCGCGCAAATAAATTTATAATTATCTTTAATACGGTAAATCAATATCTGTGATAACATTTTATAAAAGGTAAGATATAGCAGTATAATATTATAGAATAACATTATATTATGATAAATAACGTTTGTCAGATATTTAAAAACAAAACGAAAAAAACAACAACACGTTATTTAACGCATAAGATTTATTATTGAAATATTCTTTGGAATATTTTTTATTAAGCGTGGAACTTTATATTGCTTGAGAGAAAAAAAACTAACGAAAAATAAATAATAATATTAGAAGAAATTAATGCTATGCTTAAATTCAACTAATTACATCTATCGTTGGAGCATTCTGGTATTAAATAGCGTTTTAAAGTAAATAATATAATTGAAATGTTTATTTATTTTAGATGTTTCATTAGACGAGAATATCTTGTCAATTTTTACGACTTTAATGACACTGCATGTAACGGCACGATTATGAATACCACGTGGATGAATAATGTTGCCGTGCCTCAAGTTAAAATCATCGAGCAGCCATCGAGTAAAGGCACACGTTTTCGTTACGAATGCGAAGGAAGATTTAGTAACAATATTTTAGGGGCAAGTGGTAAAAAATCCTTTCCAACGATACGAGTAAGTCACTTGTTAATTAGAATGCAAACAGTAAGAATTCTATAATATTATATTTTGCATAAGAGTTTAGAACAATAATTGACAATATTGTAGAATACTCAACAATATAGATAAATAAATAATAAATAAAAAATAAAAATAAATGCATTAATGGTTAAATTGATGATCGATACATATCTTACAATGGAACAACTTTAATTCAATAATAAAAAAAAAAGCATATTGGACTTACATAAATTAGCTGTTTAATATGATGTAATAATCTTTTTACTATTGATAGTCGGATGAATATAAAGCAAATTGCCTGAATGTTTTTCAGATAATCAATTATAATGGGCCACTATCGATTATCGTATCTTGTGTAACAAAAGATCTACCATACAGACCTCATCCACATAAGCTTGTGAATGGAAATGATATACAAGAGCACGGAATCTGCTTATTTCGAATCCCTGAAAATAATAAACATGACATTTCCTTTCGACATCTAAGCGTCCAATGTACCGCCAAAAGGAATATAATAAAATCTCTTGCAGAAAGGGAACGAGTACAAATCGATCCATTCAAAAGTAAATGCATAATAATACTATAATACTATTATATGCTTTAATAATCGAATATTTAATAGATTTGTGTTTTTGTGTGTGTGCGCGCGCGTGTGTGTGTGCGCGTGTGTGTGTGGTGTGTGTGTGGTGTGTGTATACTAATATATATATATATATATATATATATATATATATATATATATATATATATATATAACAATTTTAAAAACCCATTAAATAATAATAATTATTTCCAATTGGCACTGAAAGATTAATAACGTTAGGAACGTTAAGAATATCGCTTTATAAAATATTAATCCGTCAATTATTTATTTCAGCGGGATTCATGCATAGAAATAAACCCGAGAGCATCGATTTGAATTGTATTCGATTATGCTTTCAAGTATTTATAGAAACAACGCAAAATCTTATTCCCTTACAACCTATAGTATCCGAACCGATTTACGATAAAAGTAACGTATAAATTAAAATTATATATCATATAATATCATATCATATCCTCATGCTTTATTTTAACTAAATATTAATTTGTTAAATATCAGCTAATAATGCATAATTGAATTACTGAAACGTTGCAGAAGCTGTGAGTGATCTTAAAATATGTTGGCTCAGCCATCATTCGGCATCGGTTACTGGTGGTACACAAATGTGTGTTTTATGCGAAAAAGTATCGAAATTAGACATCGAAGTACGATTTTTTCACGAGGAAAGTAATTGGGAGGCAATAGCCATACTGACAAAGCCTGAAGTTTTCAGACAGGTAACACTATATATATATATATATATATATATATATACCTCACAATGACATAATAATGACTTGTGCTCTTAACACTTAATTTATATTAAGAGCAAAAACAAAAACAAAACAAAACAAAAACGCTATAATAATCTTTATCCGTATTTTTATGAAATTAAGCAACATTCAAAGGTTTATTAATCTTGCGAGACGTTTACTTGACAATTCGACAGACCATTCCAGCACGTTTCAAATAGTCATATTTTCTCAATAGTCAGGCCTACTAAAATTTAAAATTATAATTACTTAAAACGTTATGTTGTCAAAAACAAAACAAACTTTTTTCTAACTATTTTAACAAATATTAACTTTTAGGTAGCAATTGTATTTGAAACGCCGGAATATCGAACGGCTACATGTAGTCCAGAACTCGTTCACGAACCATTAAACGTACGAATTGAATTGAGACGAATCTCGGACAAAGAAACAAGCCAAACAGTACCTTTCCAACTTTTGCCATTAGCGTGCGGTATGATATTTATACGTTAATTATTTAAACGAATGACGAATATGAATGAAAGTGCTTCGATACAACAAGCTTTATAAATACGATGAATAATAATCGTTGCAATTTATTGGCAATGAGAATGCAAATTTATGAATAAACATTGTATTTTAGTTTGCTATGAAGCTAATGTATGTCAAACGTCTATTAAGAGAAAACGAGAGAAATATAACGAAGGCCATAGTGGAATTATTTCAAAAAAAATACAGGCCGAAGTGACGAGAGGCGGCGACATATCACAGTCCATTTGTAAAGAAAAAAAAAAAGAAAAGACACAATCTTTGTCTTGTTATTTAATAGCGATATTATCATTTGTGAGTCGTTGTATTATTGTTTAATAAAGTTTAAATTGAATCTTTCAGATTCCAAGCCCGTAATTGTAAAATCGTCTTGTGAATTGAACGAATTAAAAGATGAATCTTTCGAATTGTCAATGTTGGCTAAAAATTCGGTAGAATCAGAACCTTGGGAGCTACCACCTTTACATCAATCCAATTACCCGCAACCACAATTTTCAAATTATTCACAAACTCACAACTGCGTGAATGCATTAATGTAAGTTATGTTGCGAAACCATCCAATCTCCAGTGCATTATTGAATTGCATTGAATTGAAGCGATAAATTTATAAGAATTTAAGTAATTAAACACTTTTGTAAGCAGTGATACGTCTCAGGAGAAAAAAGCAACATTAATTGACAACTTAGATAAATATTACAATATTGAATCACAAGAAATTAATGCACTCAGTCCTTATCAAAAATATAGTTCACTGGATACTTTAGATTCTGGTAAAAATATTCAAGTAATTTATATTTAAAATAGAACGTCATCAAATATCTAATAAGATTTGCCTAATTTGATAATAGATAGTTGGATAAATGATTTATTAAGCACAATAAATAAAGAAGAGCATTTAGATATTTTAACTGATGAACCGACATCTGCAAAAAACGTAACGCACATTTCTCAGGAAGATTTTCCAAATTATAACCAAAGTAAGTATTCAATGGGATTTATGGTAAATAATGTAATATTAATATATTAAATATTGCGAAAATATTACTAATGTATACTGAAATTTATAGTATTATTTTTTTTTTCTTCAAAACTTTCGATTCTCTTTGTTCTTATTTTATAATTCTAAAAATATTCTAAAAATAAAGATGAAATACACTACTTTATTTATCTCTTATAAGTATATATATATATATATATATATTGTTTTTACAAAAGTATGCATACCTTTAATCTAACTATAATTGAACTTTAATATCAACTACAAATTTTTGTCGAAATAATTTCAACTATATATTTTTATAAATATTTCATAATCAAAACGGTTCTCATTACCGTTTCCTCAAACGCGCCTATACCCACACATTCTAAATGATTAATCTCCATGTTAATTTGAGGCAGTGCATATATTAAAACTAGTGAAAGCAAAAATTCTAATGAATTAATTATACAAACGGCGAGAAGGAGAGAGATTGATTAGAAATTAAAAAACGTAGTTTTCTAACCTGCTTGTTCAATTTGATATCTTTTATCGCGCGATGTAAGATAATATCCTTCCAAAAATTATGAATTACTGGAATAAATGATAAATGCTATGATACACACACACACACACACACACACACACACACATATATATATATATATATATATATATATATATATATATATGTATATGTATATATATATATATGTATATATCAATAAGAGTCTCGATTCAATAACCGATTGGTCGACTACGATTGGTCTCTCCTAATGCAGAGAATGGAAAAAATGAAAGAAATTTTTTCAGGTATAACCACCAACCATATTGCTTTTAGCAGTCAGGCTGGGTTGATTCTCTTAAGGATCCATGGCTATCCTTTTTTTTTCAATCACCTAATTGAACCCGCATAAATTGAGAACGAGCTCCAACTTTCAATTCTATACCTCTCTCATTCATTTACTTTCTCTCTCTCTCTCTCTCTCTCTCTCTATATATATATATATATATATATATATATATATATGTGTGTGTGTGTGTGTGTGTGTGTGTGTGTGTATATATATCTCGCTCTCGCTCTTTCTATACTGTCAACACTGTTACCAAATAGAGGAGTAAGAAAGTTGATGAAAATTAAGATTGGATGTTTCGACGCGCATGTCAAGTATTAATTTGATTACACAGTCGCTGCGCGCTAGGGGAAAGCTTTCTCTTAAATTTCTCTCAATCATTATTTTTCATTGATTGTCACCAAGATGATTGATTTCAGAAGAATTTCGAATATTGCTTTTACATTTACCGTTAAAACATTATTTTATAATGCGAATTTTTTAAATTCTTTTATAGCGATTGATTTGTCATTATTGATAATTTTACCTTATAAGTGTTGATATATATCGAAGATGTGGATAATAGGAAAATAATTGTAAATTTGTTGTTAGATCAGGCTCACCATTTATTACGAAGAATTGAATAATCTTTTTATATTTGAAATAAAAATTTATATATATGTAGTATTAATTATATTGATATATTAATACTATATCAATATAATAATATTGATCAACATTACTGTTTTGTAAAAGTAATATAAAACCATAACTCTATTATATGAATAATTGTATGTTTTTATCATCTTTTCTTTTTAATTATGTAATTGGTGAAATATATATATATATATATATATATATATATATATATATATATATATATATA